CTTGACGGCTTTGGCGGTATACCAGTGAGGGCGCCGGGCTCTTCTAAGGAGATACTGAGGTGGCCTCAAGATGGCGGAGGAGAGTCCACGGCTGGCGGCAGGGGAGGACAGTGAAGAGGAGGAGGACGGAGAGGAAGCCGCAGAGGCCCCGGCGCTAGAGAACAGTAAGAAGGTTGCTCCGAGACCCAAGGACGATAAAAAAGAAACCGCCGTCACCCCTGAACCCCGACAAGAAAGGAAGAAGCCCCCGGTGCAGGCGTCGCCTCCTTCCGCCGCGACCAAGCCTCTACTCCCGGGACCTCCGGCCTTGCGTAAAGCCGGGCCGGCCCGCTACGCAGCCCCGGCCTTCCCCTCCACCACCTCCGGAGTCAACGTGTTCGCCAACGACGGCAGCTTCCTGGAGCTGTTCAAGAAGAAGATGGAGCAGAGCCCGGCCGGGAGTAAGGAGGAGGCCGTCACCCCGGAGGACAAGAAGCCCGAGCCGGACAAGAGGAAGCCCATCAGCTTTGTAAGATCCCCGGGGAGCCTCACACGGCAGAGCGCAGGGAATGGCTGGCTTAAAGAGAACCTGTCAGGACGAGGCCTGTACAGGAGAGTGAGCAGTCAGCCTTAAAGGATAGGTGTGCTGTATAATCAATGGCACATATCCATGGTAACCCACCCTCCTCCTCAGATCCATTATTTCTTTGATCTGAGGGCCGCAGCCTCCAGTGTTTGTTTACATCCTTGTCTCACCTAGAGCTTCATAGACTTCCATGAGGCAGTCTCCCTTCCTCAGTACACAGCCTTATATAAGTCTATGGGGCTGTGCTCAGCATGCCCGGCCAGGATGTAAACAAACACCGGAGGCCATCACTGTCAGATCAAGGTAAGTATGCATCTGTGGTGGAGGGAGGATGGGTTGGGTTAGGTCGAAGAAGGCAAGTGCCTGCATCCTGTTTGTTCACGTGGGGCAAAGCTCGTCCGTCCGTTTTTCTACTACGGGCGGACGGCAAGAGGTTAAAGGAGGTAACCTTAAAGCGGAGATGGGCAGCTCTGACCCTCCAGCTGTTGTGGAACTACAAGTCCTGTGAGGCATTGCAAGACTGACAGTTACAGGCATGACTGCCGGAGAAGGAAGCATGTTGGGATTTGTAGTTAAAGCACAGCTGGAGGGCTGTGCTTTAACTACCACCCCTACCTTAAAAGAGAACTGTGGGGTGATCTATTTATCCCATAGTTCTCTTCGGGACCCAAAGCTCAGTATATAGCAGGCTATTGACTGCTATATACTGAGTGCCGCAGCCAGGACGGATTCTGATAATGCTGTTGAGATCCACCCAGCTGGCTGATTCACTAGAGGGATCCCATGCAGGAGGAAGGAGGTCCTGATTCCCATATATAGATCTTTCGTTATCAGTGGAGGGATCACCTTTGATACATGGGTGATTTCTGGTATTGCATGTTCAGACTCGTCACACGACTGACCCCGAGCTTTGTAGCAAATATCAATTGAATTAAATCTAAAGCCTAAACTTGAACGTGTCCTGTGTTGCCATCCGCATCTCGGGTAGAATCTTCACTTCCTATCCCATAGACACAACAGGAAGAGCAAATCTCTCCAAAATAACAGAAATCCCCTCTAAGTTGTCACTGTTACAATTATATCCATTGGAAGATGACACCATCTATTCCCCTGACTACCTCGGCAGTACTGAACACAAGAACAATGCACCCGTGTCTCTGGCATTACACACCCGGGTAAACATGGCAACACCCAGTAAGAAAGGAAGGTTTTGTTCATGTTCAACATTTAAACCAATCCGCGCTGTTTTGTTGGTTCTGCCCATTTGTTAGCCGAGTGGTTGGCTGGGATTCCTCAGGTGGTTTGGATGCTGGGACTTGTAGAGTGCAGGATAGTACTTCCTGTGTACTCGCTCCTCCATAGGAGCCTGGATGGTCACTTAGTGATGATGTAAGCGCCCAGGAGTTGTTACAGTCCATAGCTAAATCATAGTTTATGTTGTAGTATTTATATTGCTTATTTTATAGCTGCTGGGCTCATCACAGTATCTTAAAACAGAGGGGCTGTTATCTTAAGGCTGTTTCATATTCACCAAGGTGTGTATGTAATTGTATGCATGTGGATTTAGATGGAGTCCCTGTTCATATCCGGCTGACCTCCAAAGGCTTTAGCACCCCCACACCAGGGATGTATAACAGGGAGTGTGGAGGGTTGTCTGGTTTCTGATGCATTGCAGGTGGGGAGTGTCTTGTGCCTGTCTAACCGAGGCCTCCCTTATATTCTGTTATATAGAGGGACTCAGAGAGGCTGCAAGGGCTCGTATAACGGTTGCAGTCTTCTGTTCCTTCCACCCCCAGGTGGGCAAGCGTAGAGGAGGGGCAAAGCTGGCCCTGAAGACGGGCCTGGTAGCCAAAAAACCAAAGACGGACGATGAGGAGGTAAGAAGCGTATACTTCTGCATGTCCTTGTTTCACATTTGGAATATGGTAACCAATCTAGTTGTACCCACTTGTATTGAACCTACAATTCTGGACTTGGAAGTGTTCATTTTGTTTTGTGTCGTGACATTACCTGGATGTGATGCAGAATGCTACTTCCTGATCTCCTCTGAGGGTCATTGTATTCATACTGTCTGATCCAGGAAGTCCTATGTTTCCACATTTTACTTTTCAATGCTAAAGCTCATGTGTAAAGCTGGCCATACACTTATAGATTATCTGCAGACTTTCTATGGTCAGATGGAAAAAGTGCAACAGAATCCTCCATCTACGCTAAGCTGTGTGGATGGAGGAATCTCCCGCTGGGCCAAGCTTCAGTATCTTGTTAGTCGGCCCAGCGGGAGATTCCTCCATGCACACAGCTTAGCGTAGATGGAGGAATCTGTTGCACTTTTTCCATCTGACCATAGAAAATCTGCAGATAATCTATAGGTGTATGGCCAGATTTAGGGCCCATTCACACCAGCAAGCTCAGTGCATGGCTGCTGGTGTGTGGTGAGAGTCACGGTGCTGAACCTGGCACTTTTTTTTTTTTTTACTTTATTGAAATGTCACAAGTGACCTTTTCATGAAGTTAATTTGGGGTGGTGAAATGTGGCTGTACCATGTTGCAACTTACTGTGCTGAAAAAAGTTCAACATGCCATGCACACTACTGCAACAGAACATCTGGATCTTCTGTCTCAGGGACCTTGCTTCTCAGTGACAGACTTTAACAGCCTGTCAGTTGAATTCCAGGTCCTGAAGGATCAAGCCTTTGGTTGTCCCTACGCTCCTGAAAGCTAGAAAGTCGACTTTGCATTTGCAAATAGCTCATAACATGTACTATCAGAAGGGATCACTTTCAACTCCTTACAAATAACACTTTAGCTTTTATTAGAGCTTAAACCTAATGCCTCTGAGCTAAGAAAAGGACATGCATTTTGCAGACAAGTGTGTACTGATCTCTGCCACATTAATGACACTATAATCTCTCTTTTCCACAGCTTATTTTACAGAAAGGAGGGGCGTGGGCACAGTACATGGCAGAAGTGAAAAAATACAAAGCCCACCAGTGCAGCGACGATGACAAAACCCGACCGCTTGTCAAATAATGCAGAAAATGTATGGGCTTGAGCTGAGCGACTTTCAGGGGATGGCTCTGGGTTACCCCAACCAAGAGTATTTTGTTCCCAACACCAGCCTCATATACTGCAAGATCCTTCCGCTGCCCCCCCTTCCCCCACGTCACCTTGGAGTGTGTATTGCTGATCCCGTACTGGACTTGCTAACTTTACAGAGGAGAGAAGAGACTTTGTGACTGGGTGCTAAAATGCCGTGCTGGTGAATTGATCCTTCCCCAAACAGGGTACATTACCCTTTCCTGGACTCTTTGAGCACCTTTGGCCCCCCTAACCTGTCTGCTGCTGCAGAATGGAGGAATATAGACTTTTATTTTTGTTTTATATTTGTGTGTGGGCATGACTTTTACTTTTTCTTTTTTGTAAGAAAGCTTGCATCCAGATCACTATCTGTGTAGAATGCTGTCCCATTATACAAAAGGCAACCTAATCCTAGTTACATTGCCATCCTAACATCCCCTCCCCGCCACCTTTAGTTTAATTTCTGTGTGAGGGTATTGTTACTTTTACCACAAGCTGCACGGTGCTCATAGACTACTGTTGTAGGCGCTGGACCTGATCGGTAGGGAGCTGGGCCTTTAAAGCAGCCAAAATTACAGAGAAAAGCTATAGCTGTAATGGCAGTGTGTAAATACTTGCCTCTCCTGCTACCTGCATTGCCAAATACTGCTCCAGGGAACAGGAATTGTACCCAGAAGTCTGGTGGGCCATCAACATTTCTGCATGTGTTCACCTCTTGTGTCCCCCTCCGTGCTAGCTGCTTCATGCTGCCGCCTGTAAGTCACTACTGTGTAGTGACATAGTGGCTGGCAGGAGGAACCACAGCACCCAGGGCTCATAAAGATGACAGATTTCAGTAGCCGTCCTCCAGAGAAGTAAGTATTCAGAAGCTTCTATTGCAGCTAGCTGGATGGGTTTTTTTTTTTGTGAGATATGTTGGGTTCTTTTTAAGAGCACCCCGGGAGCCCACAGGACTAGGGTGCTCAGTTTGTACAGGGCTACCTTGACACCTCCAGCTTTAGGACATCATTTTTTTTTTTTTTTAATTGCCTTTTTCAACCCTTTCCTTGTTACTGTTCATAATAACCAGGAGCAGCAACCCCATTATCTAAGTGACATCCAGATTTGATGTGTAACAGGTTCTTGTGAAGTGTGGACAGGCCCTAGGTTATCCCTATTCTAATTGTGCTTACATGCGAGCAAAAAATATATATTGTCTCTACCAGGAGCTCACAAAGTCACTACAGGGATCTTTATAGCAGGCTCCCTTTGATGGAAATGGTGAACCCGCCTGTTGTTCTGAAAATCACTTCTTATTTAAAACGATTTATGTTCTACATGTTTACTAAAGACACCCTGTCACTGCCCCTTCTTTAAGGTGGCAACACAGTGAGAAGTGCTAAAAACACACTTCTGGAAGTGTCTGTTCAGACGTCCTGCTGCTCACACTCGCTCGCCTCTGCTATGTTACTATTCTCTATGCTCCCAGCACTGCCTTGCACAATCTGCGCTCAGAGCGTAGAGACTGAACAGGAGCACTTGGATGGCATCACCAGGCAGCAGTTTGTGACTTAAGGTGCCCACACACCTTGCAATTTATCTGCAGATTTTCTGTGGTCAGATGGAAAAAGTGCAACAGATTGGCCCAGGTGGAGATTACTCCATCCACACAGTGTAGATGGAGGAATCTGTTGCACCTTTTCCATCTGACCACAGAAAATCTGCAGATAAATTGTAAGGTGTGTGGGCAGCTTTAGAGTGAGGCACCTTTCCAAAGCAACACGTGTACGGTGATTGGGCTCACATAGAGTTCACAGGGGTTGATACTGCTAGGGACAGGGTCTCCTTTACATGCCCATGAGTGTAAGGATAATCAACATTCTATGTACAGTTATTTTTTCTTTTTTCCCCCCTTGTACAATCATGATGCCTACAGTGTTTACATCATTCTTTCATGATTCACATACAGTGTATGTTTTTCCTTTGTCTCTTGCGTAACCGCATTTCATTAAACTGGAGGAATCTCTGCTAAAGTCGTCTTGTCTTTTTTCTGTTTTTGGGATACAGAACCATATTCTATGATTACACAAATTACACAAATGCTATATTGTAACCTCTCTGAACTCAGCACAGGCAGAAATTCAGGTCACACTTTGCTGAAACTTTTTTTCCTAACAGATGTATTGCAACAACAGCATGGTTTCCTATTCTGGACATAACTCCTCCTTCTGATGCGTTTCACCCCTGTTCAGGCCTAAATCGTCATCACCCCTGTGATTTAATCCCTGTCCTGGGGTTAAATGCATCAGAAAGGAGATGTCTTGCAGAAGAGATTGTGTGTTGGAAGCCATGCTAGTGTTGCAATAAAGCTGATTGAAAGAAAAACAAGGTTTCTGCATGGTGCGACCTGAATGTTTTCCTGTTCATGTAGTGAGAGAGGAGATGGATCCTGTTGTTGGTCTAGACCAGCCTTTCTCAACCGCGGCGCCTGAACATTTTGTGGTAGTGGGACTGCGATGTGAAGGGGGCTCCTGCTGTAAGAGGGACTCTTGATTCGAAGGTGGACTTTGATCTAAAAGTGAAAACCTGACTTTTTTTTGTATTTGTGTTCCCCTTAAAATGTATGACATTTTAGATTGGGGTGCTTTTAGATTTTGCAAACTTTTAAAGGGTGCTGTGACTAAAAAAAAGGTTGAGAATCGCTGGTCTAGGCATCAGTGGCTTGTGAAGCACTATGTAGGTACTGTCTGGAGTGATACCAACTCTGGTGAAGTTGGTTCACTTCCTGCCAATGCTTGTTGCTCAGCATTGGCAGAAAATGAACTGCTGCACATGAATAAACCCCAGCGGCCTTTATACAGCACATATCTAGGAAACCTTTCATGGAGGTTGCTATTGCAGACTTGGGCTTCATTCAGACGGGCTTTTAGTGCCCACATATGGGAAGAATCTGCGGAGTCTTGTGGCTGGAATAACAAAGTACAAGCTGTGTACAAAGCAATGCCAGGCTGATTAGATGCAGACACATTGTGTTCAGGGACGATCATTTGTCCCTGTCTGCAGGTAACCGATGAATGTGCGGACACCTGTGGGCCTATCTTTGCTTTGTACAGGCCGAGCAGCCAGAGCTGTCCGGGACCCCGTCATTCCAGCTAGAATGCAAAAATGTATGCAGCTTGTGAGTAATGAAAGCTGTGTAAATGAGGTATTACTTTATTTGCATGCCAGTCATGCTGCATGACTGGCTTTAACCCATTAACTGCCAAGGATGTATACCACATGTCTTGGTGGTCAATGTTTTAAAACAACTGTTGTAAAACTTGTTTTAAATTGCCCTGTAAGAGGAATACCTCATATGGCTGTCATTTATGGTTAAAGAAACCTTGTAAATTTGTTGTTGCTCTCTGTGTCCACACCAGGTAGGTTGGCCTTCTGTATTTGTCCCAGTGACCGTTGTCCCTGAAGCAGAAAGGGATGAGAAATAAGAGAGTTCACCAGAACAAGAGGTGAGGGGAAATCTTTCAATAAGGACATTCTCCCCCGTTTTATTGATGACGGTCTTGAGAGTGGAACACCCCTCACTTTGTACATCGTCTCAGGAGGTGATGGGAGATCTCCCCAAAAGGCACAGACCACAAATAATAAACTGACAGGGTTGTTACGCCTTCCCTGATCTGTCCAACACTAATAGTGTTATTCACAAAAAGGGTGAAGAGTTTGGAGAAGGCAGGAGAAGTGAACAGTCTGGCTGCAATAGCTGAACTGGAAAAATCTCCAATTCAGCTCACTTTGCAGTTCAGCTTTTTTGGCCTAGACTGTTCACTTCTCCCGTCTTCCCCAACTCTTCACCCTTTTGTGAAAAAAGGTGTTTTATTTAAGGGTTTTTCATCCTGTAAATTAAAAAAAAAAGTTTGCCTTTACATAAACTACTCAAATTTTAGAGGGACACAGGAAGTCTTGAGTGTTTGTAGGCATACTGCCCTCTACAGGAGGATTGAGTGCTGGCAAACAAAAACCAAAACCATGTAGGCAAGGCCAGGATAACTCCACCCCCCCCCCCCCCTTTTTTTTTTTTTAACTACCAGCATATTTTTGTATGTGTGAGATCCAGAAAATTGGATTTCTGAATTGGCAGTAGAAATCTGTTTCATGCAGCACAGTATGGGACATTGGACCATTCACTCTGTTTCCTTAATTGCATGCTAAAAAACTGAGGATTCTTGGGAGTGCTAAGGGTTACACAAGGGTCCTCACAGCTCCCCCTCCATTTACCTAATAAAACCTGCATTTTCTCCAGTGTGTCCTGTACTCCAAGCAACAGATTTTACTGGTAAGTCAAAAATACTGTTATTTTCACCAGCACAATTTTCTTCAGTCATGACTATTCTTTCCAGTGCTGCTGAAGAATTCCTCTCCGATTTGCAGTGATACGGCACCTTTGTCCCCAGCCGAACCTTAGACTCCACTGCACCTGACATCGCAGGGTCTTCAGGCACTGGATTCCACGTGAGGGGCTTTCCAGACTTGTTCATGTGTAACTTTTACCTTTTCTTGCTTGCTGCCCACCTACATTGATTTTGGTCACTGGCCCTCTCCTGCTACCAGCTGTCTGTGTTTCATAAGTACGCAAGGTCTTGTCTCTTACCCAGAACCTGCATCTTGCTCAACCTCGCTGTAGTAGCACAATGTCTAATTCTGCCCATGGAGGGGACAGTCCCACTGTACTAGGTGCCCCAGTTAATTTTCCACTAACAGGTTGGGAGTTGCTTACAGCATGCCTTTTAAGGTTCACACATACATATTTCAATATCTGGTTTTAACACCTACTGATGGTGCAATGTCTGGAGTTTCTTGCCTCCTTGCAGTTCTCCTCAGCTCTGTTGGGTGTGACTGTGTCCTCTCCCTTTCTGGCTGAGATTTGTAATATGGTTATGCAAGACCTTATGACCCAGCTATTTGCTAATTCTGACTGCAAAGGCCACGTATGAGCTCCTGCACCTTTGCCAGCAAAGCCGGTATGTGATTTACTCATAGTCTTAGCAGCTTCTGAGCAAGCGGCCACAGAGACAGTCTGGCTGAGTTGCAGGCTACTGTTAATTCTGCAAAATAAAGAAGACTGTTTCAGCTATTATTAATGCAAGGCACACCACTCTCAAACTGGAGGATCAGCATGTTGCTTCTACAAATGCTATTTCAAGTCTTGAGTCCTTTTAAGACTCTTAAGATTGCAAAGACTTTCCTTTTGCACCCACTTTTCAAACTGTTTCTTGATGGGGAGCTGTGACAATATGATGGAAGCTTCCCACCCCCGTGTCCATGCATATGCAGAGGGCACTTTGGCTAAAGTACTAGACTGCAGAAGCTTTATGGAAGAAAC